GAAAATTTAATTTTTGGATTAAATTTGCTAATAGTCTTCATCACAAGAGATAATTTGAATTCTATTTCTTTTACTATGAGAGCTATTTTCGAATACCATATTACCAGGAAATCATTAATCCGATTTGATCTTTATAAAATACAACTCATTAGCCTCCCCTGCTTCTTGCTGCGATGTTCTAGTTTAGTTCCAACCTTAGAACACTAGCGAACAAATACATGTAGTGGAAACGTAGATTATGCAAGTTCAAATCTAGTCAATATTTTTTTATTTCACAAGCTATTTGTGAAGTTATAGTAGTTTTGTAGCTAAAATCATATACATCAAAGATTTCATAGTAGTACCGTTACTACCGCACATCAAATTAGAAGCCAAACAAATATTAATCTCGTGTTTTCCACCGACGATGCTATTGGATATGGTACATACGTGAGATACACTTAACCGGAAATATTTATGTTCATCCTAACTCACTCTTCATGTAAATAGGGAGATCGGGATATATTTGCAGTTTACAAAGAAGTTGTTGGGTAGGCAAGTGTAGATTCAACATAGTACTTTGACCCATTCTTCGCATTTTCATAGGTCAAAACCAAAGTACGCAAATTTCTTTTACATTGAAATTTCTTGAAAGAAGATGTGAAAATACATAAATAAAATTTTGTTTTTGGCGTGAATTGATTCAATATGTGTTTTATTATTGCTTTTGAATAAACAAATTTTCAATTTAAAGCAATGCACTTGATATTCCAGAGGCTTAGATGATATTATATAGTTATTTGGATTTACTATGATAGGATATGATAATATTAAAAATTAGGCATAAGAAATGTATTTGAAAAAGGCATCGAAATTATCAAGCGAAACAGAGAGAATTATGGTCGAATAGTGAATGCTCGTGGGCTTTCCAAATAATGGAGCCTAAAAATGGTCAATAAAATTCTCTTGTACCATCGAATTAAAAAAAAATATCCATCTCCATATGCCTTTTTGAAATTTATAAGACTTATGTTAGAGCACCGCTTAATAGTTAATACAAGATCTAATAGATCGTGGTCTTAAGTTTGGATTTTGTAAATGACTAAATCATTTACCACTGATCTTGAATAATTGTTTTTAATTATCCTTTCACATTTGGATTTTTTTCTCTAACCACTTTTGTTTTTTTGTTTTTTTTTCCAAAAGTAGGGTAGTTGGAGGTGAACCATGGTTATCTAGCCATTCTGAGCCTAGATGAGACTAGTTGAGAATTGCATCCTACCCGTGACTACGATCAAGCAAATTCACAACTTACAAAGTATTGTCATGCTACTTCTCAAATGCTTCCACATTTCAACCTAAAATAATGCATTATTGATAGTTGAATAGTTGTAATCACTTCCAAAAAGTCATTGTTATAATCTATTGCATAGTCTTTATCCTTTCATGTTTGTTGCCATGCTACTTCTCATATGCTTCCACATTTCAACCTAAAATAATGCATTATTGATAGTTGAACAGTCATTGTTATAATCTATTGGATAATCTTTGTCATTTGTGTTCGTTTCTTTCCTCTTTTCCTCTCTTTCACTGCACCTTCTTGGCCAGTGGTATGTCGTTTCTCAAGTCCATATCCAATATTATTATATTATCAACTTTTGTTTTTGTGAACTGAAGGAGCTTGACTTGAGATTAGGTATTTTAGTATCATCCGTTCGGCAACACAACCACTGCCATTTTTTAATACATATACCATCTCTATACACACTTTTTTTTTATAATAAGTGTATCTTGTATTGAAGTCACCATTTACAGTGGGGATAACGATGTCATAGACAAGAATCACTAGGGCTTGAGTTGACTAAAACAGTGCCAAAGTTAGGAATTGTCTGGGAAATGGCGAAATTTAAAAGGGTAAAAAGTTTCAAGAAAATGTAGACAACAAAATCCTTTAGATAGTAGAGAATATTAATGTCATTCATAATTTATAAATACAAACAAGTTACAATTGTTGCCGGCGAGATTTTATGCCATGAAAACGTTGTATAATAAGTTCATTAACAATAAAAGCAAAAACATCACTCTCAATGTAACCTAGCCATGACTTGATCATTGAGCTCCCATTTTGTTATGCAATGATTTTTTGACAATATTCATATCAGAAAATGTTTTTTAACCGAAACGGTTGCAACTGATAACCCAAAAGTCAATGTTAAGATGTACAGGGTGAGAAGCCCTATTGTTGTGTGTGGCTACCACCACTGTAAATCCTTCACTGTATTTATTTATTTATTTATTTTTGGCGTGAAGTAATTTCTATGTTTGTTTTTATTAATGCTTTGGAATAAACACATTTTCTGTAATAGTTAGCCTCCTCTGCTTGTTGGTGCGATGTTCAAATCCAGTTTCAACCTTAGAAGACGAGCGAAACAATGATAAGTAGTGGAAACGTAGATTATACAAGTTCAAAACTAGTCAATATTAACCACGAGCTGGTGATTCAGTGGTAATGACGGATTACGAGGCTTCCTTAAAATTAAAAACTGGAGGTTTTAGGTTCGAAATCCACTGCTGGTGTGGAAGCTAGACTTGTGATTAGGGGATGCTGAAATGTCTTTGTGAGTCTTCCACAGTATTATGTGAATCAATCAAGCCGTCCTATACCAAATTTTCTTTCGTGTAAAAATTATAATGCAAAATTTGGAATTATGTTTGTTAGAACAAATTAGTTGTTTTATTAGGACGACAACAACAACATCCCAAGCCTTATCTCACTTAGTTGTCTGATCCTATTAAGGGCTGGTTTGGTATTGCTGTGCTTTGAAAAAAAACTGCTGTGAGAATAAGCGGCTGTGAAATAAAGCCAGTAGAGTGTTTGGTAAACTTTTTTGTGAAAGTGTTTTTGGAAAAAAAAGCAGGATGATAGTGTGTCTTTTCATTAAAGGAGCACTATAGCTCCGTGTGCTTTGAAAAAACTGGTTTTTTTCAAAGCAGCAAATAGCAGCTTCAGCTTTTCCTTTGATTTTCAGCTTATTCTCACAGCAGCTTCCAAAATAAGCCATTTTTTTTCAGTTTACCAAACACAAAAATGACCCTCAACTTTTTTTCACAGTGGCTTTTTTTAAAATCACCTCAATCCCAAACGGGGCCTAAAACATTTAAGCTTGTGGAATCTCTTTGAAATGTTTTAAGAGCCTTGGGAAATATTTAAGAGTTTATCTTTAATATGAAAAAGCTTCCATGATGTTCCCCCCAATCAAGGAAGAAAATATCGGTAATATCGGAAATATCGGTAGTCCGAAAACACGGAAATATCGATGGAAATATCGGTAAAATATCGATATCGATAAAAATTACATGGAAACCACGGAAATTGTAAGAAAAACTTGGAAATTTTTAATGAAACTTTGTAGGATGTTTATTTAGTCAATTATCTATTAGTTTATCATAAAAAATTGGAAGGAAATGCATTGCATGATGGATTTAACTTATTTAAGTTGATTATATAGCGAGCTGGCAAACATTGTGAGTGTAGAAAATATGTAGTAATTAATGAAAGAAGTTTAAACACACCATAATCATTTATATATAATTAATTAGTACAATATTTGGAGGTTTTATTTAGGATATTAAAAAAAAAAAAGGGAAGTGAATAAAAAATGATGAAGAATAATGTGCCGAATTTGACACTTTAAATTTCTTACACATAAGAATAAGACTAAACTTTAATTTGGATGCCGATTATGTTTTTTCAAGTTTATATAAAGTAAAAGAATTGAATTTTGGAAACCAGGAGTGTGTCAATTGAATTTTGGCCGGCGTGCAAGGTATCAATCTCTTCGTCTCGTCGAGTAGTACAACTTTCCTTTTTGTTTCACTCAATTTCGTTGAGTATTGAAAAAGTTATACTCATTTGAATCTTACCCAGTTTCCGGCGACCTCAGTGGCTTTCGAGGCAATTTCCGGCCAAACGACAATGATTCAGACGTCGTGTAAGGTACCATTCTCTTCGTCTCTTCGAGGGCTACAAATTTCCTTTTCGTTTCACTCAATTTCGTTGCGTATTGAAAAAGTTATACTCATTTGAATCTTACCCAATTTCCGGCGACCTCAGTGGCTTTCGAGGTAATTTCCGGCCAAACCACGGCGAGTTGGCCGGCGTGCAAGGTATCAATCTCTTCGTCTCGTCGAGTAGTACAACTTTTCTTTTTGTTTCACTCAATTTCGTTGAGTATTAAAAAAGTTATACTCATTTGAATCTTACCCAGTTTCCGGCGATCTCAGTGACTTTCGAGGCATTTTCCGGCCAAACCACGACGATTCAGACGTCGTGTGAGGTACCATTCTCTTCGTCTCTTCGAGGACTGCAACTTTCGTTTTTTGTCTTGCTTGATTTCGTTGAGTTTTGACAAAGTTATGGCCGTTTAAAGTGGGTGTAAATTTTCGGCCGAAATTCTGATTTTCTTCCTTGAGTGACTGAGTCCCACATCGCCCAGCGAGGGCAGTGAGCAAGCCAAAATTGCCTATAAAAGGAACATTCACGCGAGCACTGATGAAGTATCATCCTATATAGGGAGAACCATTTACATATTTAACTATAAAAGAATACAAATACATATTTTTAATCGTTTTAGTGTCGACTTACCTGCTCTAACTCTAAAGTGAAGTCCGACAAGAGCGTCCAAAGCGGCAACTTTAAACAAAACCCAGAATGGTTTATTAGTCAACAGATCATTGTACTAAGGCAAAAACTTCACAAATATATGAAAAAAAAATGTAAAATAATAATCTTACGTCTAACACCAACTGAAGAGTTGGGTTAAATCTTGAACCTTTTGCAGCTTCTCCATTGCTTCACCGAAATTTTCCTCTAAAAATTTGAAATTCAAGTAATATAAGTTTCTTAATCCATCAAACACAGAACTTAATTGGGTTATCTAATCACCCAAAACAAACAAACTTGACTAGAACGGATGTTCCCATAAGCACCCAAGTTCTAATCCCCCTCTCCGCTATTTAGATTAGTTTAAAGTAGAATATCGCAAGTACGAGATTAAAAAGAAAAACACCAAAGGGACCTTTTGCAGCTTCTCCATTGCTTCACCGAAATTTCCTCTAAAAATTTGAAATTCAAGTAATATAAGTTTCTTAATCCATCAAACACAGAACTTAATTGGGTTATCTAATCACCCAAAACAAACAAACTTGGCTAGAACGGATGTTCCCCTACGCACCCGAGTTCTAATCCCCCTCTCCGCTATTTAGATTAGTTTAAAGTAGAATATCGCGAGTCCAAGATTAAAAGAAAAACACCAAAGGGATAAAAAAGAAACCTTTCAGATGATAAAGTGGACATGGCCAACAACACCATTCCCCTTGAATTATCACCAGCAGGGTCTTGCCCTTCGCTCGGCTGAGTCGAAAGGCACTGTTCCAGTACAAGCACACCTTGCGCATACGATTCATCTACATTTCCCACAATCCAAATTTCAAATTAAAACAATTTAATTTCAAAATTTTATGAACAAATTCAAAAATTCAGATGACCGGATTGTAAAAGGACCTGATTTCTGAGACCTAGCGTGAGAGAGAGCGTAGTTGATCATCTGAAGAGCAACGGGGTTGACGTTCAAGCCGTTGATCCCGTCGTGGACAAGTCTGGACGGCGGTGATCGATGAAGGATGGAGAACCCGAGCTTGGCGGTTCGATTGACGGTGGCAGCAGATAGTGATAGATTAACTGCGGTGCGAATCATTTTGGGAGATGTGATTTCTCTCTTCCTCAATTGGATTATCCGAAGGGACCTGACTGGGAAAAATTGAAACTTTATAATATTTTTTTTTTTAATTTTAGAAGTTAGTCCCTGCAATTTAATTATATTTGAAAGATATTACATACTTTCATTTACCCTTTGGACAAAAAATTAAAAATCAATTTGTTTTTTTTAATAAATTTTGTTAAATTATATGTTAAAAAGCCGTCATGTAAGAATTGGACATCATTCCACTACTAAGTTAAAGGACCATTTGTTTTCTTTTTTTCTTTTTCTTTTGTTTTTTTTTCTAGTTGTTAACATGTTCATAATTGCTATGTTTTAAGAAAGCTGCCCTTCAAATTAGCCCAAGTACTGAAAGAATGTGATAATAAGTTAAGATTAAAATTTGTTATGAGTTCGATTCCTTCTAATTCGACTAAAAACATCTTCTACAAACCCGGCACTCAAATTTTTTAAGAATTTGGAATTTTGGATGCATAATTTTGATCCTTGTCTCTCCTCTTCGTGACAGTTTCTTCTCTCCCTTCGTGAGAGTTCCTTCTCCTCTTGTGAGAGTTTGCTTTTAACTACTTCCTCCCTTTTCCGTCGTTGGCCCTGGTTGTGTCCAGGGTCGGTGGCTGTCTCCCATTTCTCTTTTTCTTTTTTGCGTGCTCATTGGCCTGCGTTTTGTCCCCGTTGTTTCGACCCAATTTACCTACACTCCTAACTCTGATCCCTTCTTCTTCCAATCTCAGTTTCCCATTCACATCCTTATTTCTATTCATTCACCATCCTATCCATCACACCTTGCTCTGTCCTTCCTCTGTCTCACTCAATTTTGGATCTACAAGCCATTTTTCTTCACGCGACTTGTCGCAAACCTCTCGGAACGTGCGTACAGCTCTAGCTTCGGTGGAAACACCACCACTTTCCATATGTATGCCTTTATTGGCATTGTTACTGGTGGGATCTCTTTCCTTCTGGTTTCATTAAATATGTGGCTCAGATCTATTTAGTGCTTGATGGAGGAAGGTCGGAGGTTAGAGCTCTCTCTTTTCCACCACTTATAGGACATTGGTTGGCTGGATCTCTGGTATTTGTCAGGGATGGAGGTGCACGATGGTGGATTCCGGTCGATGGTGGTTGTGGTGCAGGTTGCTTAGGGATGACAACGGTTCGGTTTGGAGACGAAAATGTTACATCCATCCCTATAACTGCAAAAATTAACCATATCCATAACCGCAAATTAACCATCAGGGATTATCCATAACCATACCCACCGGGTAACGGATTTTTCATCTGTTAACGGTTATATCCATCTTCGTCAAAAACAAAAAAATTATATTCATCTAATTGGTGCACAATAATTTAGTAGATACTAATTTCATCATTAAACAGACACGTCTAATAATAAAAAACATAACAATGAATGAATTTTGTAGAGTATTGAATAATGTGAGTTGTTGATATCTCCCATTAACATTATGTTTTGTGCATAATGAATATAATATAGGGTTTGATGCATAAGCATTATGTTGATATCTCCCATAAACGTTATATATATATATATATATATATATATATATATATATATATTGTATACCCCTATATCCATATCCAAAACCATAACCGATTAAAGTTCATGGTTTTTCCCCATATCTATTATATACCCAAAAATTTTCATACCCAAATCCGCTACATTCGGGTGGTTGTCCACGATTTGAGTTGCTATCCCTAAGGCTGCTTCGGCTTCTTGTCTTTTTTTGTTTTTCTATTTGGACCCAATTATCTGTTTGGGCTTTGTTTTGCTTGGAGGCCTCATTTTTATTTTGTGCTTGACTTGTAATTGAGCCTCCTATTGTATCGTTGTTGGGTTGTTAATGAATTCACTTTTGATAAATAAAAAAAAATTAAAGTATTAGCTTCTGTTGTAAATAGTGGGTATGTATGCCCACATGCATATAATAAACCTTTTCATAAGTTTAATAATGTTTTGTTTGCTTTTCAAAATGTTTGCTCTATAAATAGAGCATTATAAGTGTTAAAAATGTGATGCTAAAAGGAAGAAAAGAGGAAGAAGTGAGAAGCCACAAGGCTCACGACAGAGAGGGAGAAAAGAGAAAAGAGAGTTATCTTTGTAATCTTATTACTTCAAATTATAAATAAAACCACTGCTGTTGCCTCGAGGATGTACTCCAGTCACACTGACTGTAGAGGAACCTCATAGATTTTGTGTCTTATTTGTTTATTCCACTGCACATACTGTCGATTTTTCAACACGTTATCAGCACGAGAAGCTCTCATGTCAGTGGAAAGCACAACACCACAAATCTTGTGCACCTCATTCAACTGGAATCTCACAGATAAGAAAATCTTTTCATTTCATCTTCAAATATCAGTTCAATTGATTTTCTTGAAGCAACTATATATATTGTTGTATGACTATATCATCTTTTGCAAAAGCAAAAGAGTACATACTCAAAATTCGTAAAGAATTTGACAACCATGTAAACAACCTCGGAACTCTAACTTGCGGACCTCAGATTAAAATACTTTTCTTCTTGAAAAGTTGTTTGTTCGCTCAGTATCTACAACATATCAAAATTTCAGAAAACTTTAACAGTGCGATCGTCCTAGATGTCTGAAATACCAAACCAGTTTCCAATTTCCGCAGAAAACTGGACATCCACCTTATGAGTACCGCAACTCCATTTTTGTAGCTCAAATCGAAATTGTTTCTTCACAAAAGTTGTTTGGTATCCGCTTATCCATATCATACTAAAATTTGA